ATTAGACTCAGCACATTGGTTATAGAGTCTTTTAAAGATCCTCCGCGAAAGTTTGTCGAGATTCTTTCGGCTCAAGAATCCTTTTCGTCATCCGACCAAAATTCAATATTACAAGGTCCGTAACAAAATAGTCCTCGGATAGCTTCAAAATTAAATGTTAATATGAATAAATGAAATCTTATCAATGTTCTATCTGATGTTTTAAATTTTTTAATGATAAATTCATCCATTGCTCCATATTGGAATTTTAAAACAAAAAAGTACTCGTTTAGTATATTCAAAACTCTGCAACTTCGTTATAAATAAATAAGGTGATAAATTGTTATTGGAGGCTTTTGGTTACACAGGCTAACACACACCCAAATAAAAGAGTTATTAAAACAAAGGTCAAGAAGAGCTGTATTTTGGATTTAATTGATATTTTTAGAGATATAACAATAAAAAAAATTGATGGCATTTCTAGGCTCTTCCTTAATTGAGACTTTATGTTTTAGGAGTAGTCCCTTTTTCCAGTAGGATATTTTTTGAAGCTAATATCGCTTTAATAGTCCATTTGGTTAAGAGTGAAAGTGAGAGATATTGATTATTGCAAAAAGAAGTGATTTTCATTGAAGAGTTTTAAAACAGTTACTTCATTGAAGTACTTTTGCTCATTTCTGGATAACTTGGAATGATACGTTTTTGCTCTATATACAAAACATTAAAAAATAAATTAATGGATTTCTTGTAATAAGTTTATGTATTTATTTATGAAATGACTATTTATTTTTATTTATAAGTACTTATTATATATTATTATTATATATTTATTTTACATAATTTATTATTTATATTATATGAGTATTTATTTTTAGTATGTTATTTCTGAAAGAAAAGATCAGACCTTAATAAGAGTTTTTTTTTTGTTCTTACAAGATGCCTTAAATTTTAGGGTCCCTTTATTGATAAACTAGCCGCTTTCGGCGACCAGCTGGTTCGCCTATATTAGAGCTTATAACTTAAAATGATTCAGGTATATAAAAAAGGCAACATATGCAGTATATGATGTTTGAAATAGTTGTTATTGTTTATTTAATGTTAATAATTTGTAAATAAAGCTATTTATCCGACGAAGTTTTTGAATTTTTTTAACGTAAAAAACTGTCATTTTTAAAAAAAAAAAAAAAAACGTCTGTAAACTCAAACAAATGACTATTATGAATTAAGTAAAATGTCATGAAAAAAAGGAATTTTTCTTTTTTTTTTGGGTAAAACAATTAGTTCCAAAATCAAAACTGAAATAGAGATGCATACAATATGAAATAGTAAAAAAAGATCATCTTGAGATGCATAAATTCAAAGTTCTAAATTTTCAGCCCGTAAATGAAATTTTAGAGAACAGTAAATTAATGCAGTTTTTAGCTGCTTATGTTAAAATATTAATTTGAAATTGTTATTGCAATTTGAAATTACCTTTAATTTTGATAAAATGGTATAAGAATCGTATAACTCTTTAAAACATCATAAATCATATGCAATCAGAAAACGTTTTAAATTTATGTATAAAAACATTTATAGTAGCGAAAAGCTATTTAAATGCTTTTTTTTCAATTTGATGTTTCATTATCTGTTTCGCTTTGGTTGTGGTATTCTAATTGAGTTTGTGGAAGGATTGGTAAAGCATGTATAATTTGAAACAGGAATAAAAGTTTGATAAAATTCCGCAAAAAAAGTCGCTTGGCATTAAGTTTAATATCAGAGGGAAGGTCACTTTTCACATTTCAAAATGGAAGAGAAGTGTTTTACGCATAAAATGAGTTTAAAATGTTTAAAAATTGTAAAAAAATCACCATTTATCTTAACATAATCAACTAAAAAATAGTTTAATATTTAGAGGGAAAAATGTTTTCGTTGCAGTGAGCTGTTAATCATTTTGCTTAAGTCAACCGCGAAACACCCCGCCTCATACTAGGCGAATTGCTTCCACGTCATCTTGAAGAAGAGGGGGGGGGGAGGGGCCCTAGCTCCGCTCCTAGAGGAAACAACGTTCCCTGACCTTGTCAGCGAGGGGTTATCCATTCAGTGACCTTCACCGATTTCAGAGCATTAGATAATGCTTTCAAAAAGATTTTAAAATTCGCTGAAATAACATTCAGAATTGAAACTAACAACATTAGAAGGGTGAAAATTCGCACTTTAAAATGGTATTCAAATAATTTTCGAGCTTCAATTACTTCGGAAGTTATTCACGAAAAAACGGCCGTAAACGGCCAAAATTCGTTTAATTTTTAAATAATTAAAATTTGAATAAAGAATTGAAAAAAAATGGCTCCGAGGTGCAAATTCCCACCCTCCAAAGTATTCCTGTTCGAAATTTTGTAGCTCTAATTTCAACTGTCTGTTCTGTAGACCGCTAACAGACACACATACTTTCTCTTTTTTTATTAGTAGAGGTAGAGATTACAATTTGAAAAGTATTAAATGGGAATTGATTTTATATCTATATTTATGTTTCTGAAGGATTTCAGTGCTTGCTCACATGATACACAACAAATGCGCAGCGTCAACTTAATTTTGGAGTCTTCTGCGTTTATTGTATTAGGAAAAAAAGGCCGTGACATCACTGAAGAACAAAAGAAACGTAACGTTAAATGGTATGTACAGTTAACGCTTGTTTTGCTACTGTAAAGTGATTGAAATGAATCCATTGCTTTTATTATTTAATTTTATTGTTCTCCCTATGTAAAGATTTGATAGACTGCAAATAAATTAAATGAATTGTCGAAATTTTATAATCTGTTTTTGTTATATTTGTCTTAAATAACTACAGATCTTTATGATACATATTTAGATTTTTATTTTGCTTATATGAGGTTTTTTTTCTCTGTTTTAGCTATTTATTGTGAATACTCATCTATACATTCTAGCCGCGATTGTGTTGTTTGTTTGTTTTTATGTTTGTTGTATAGTACAGTGTTAATTTTGAGCTTCCTGCATTCTATTTTATTTTCTTTATCGTTATTATTTTATTTTAATGTATTAAGTCCAAAGAGCCTTGGAATTCTGGGACCTCAAAAATTGAAACGCCCGAGTTCCTCTTCCAAAGGCAAGAGAAATTCCCTAACCCCCACAAAAAGATTTATTCTTAAGAGTTTCATATTCAAAAGAGGACTCTGCTTCCCAAGTAGCACTACACGTCTCCCGATATTATACAATATTGTTCGATATTATATTATATTGTACAATATTATACAATATTGAGAATATTATTCAATATCGTACAATATTGTACAATATCTTTGTGCTACTGGGGTTAGCCAATGGACGATTTGTATAAGAAAATAGGTTTACCTCTTCCTTCCTTAAGGCTCTTCCACTCCAACGAACAATACGTGCACTTAGGGTATCTAGTCAATCACATTTAACGGAGGGCAGTGGAGCAGGGAAACTAAAGGGGTTCAGACGATCGCCGTACTTTGGTTGAACGGGCGTTTCGGGCGCTTCAGTATTGAAAGAGTTAATCAAGAAAGTGTGTATAGGGAAATTTGAAATTGTGATAAGAAATTGTGTATCGCTTGTTTTAGCCTCTATCTTATGAAGCAGTGTACCTTGTATCGAATTTTTGTGCTCGAATATCGAATTTGCTGGAGTTCTTCGGAACTGTCAGTGATTCGAAATTTGTATGTCCGTAAAGACAGGTCAAATTACTAACTATTATTATTATTATCTGATTAGGAGTGGAAATTTGTGAACATAGTGCCCGTTCTGTAGAACAGGGGGACATTTCATTACGTAAAGTGAATCAAGAAAGTGCTCATAAAATGATAACGGTGAAAATAACTGTTTTTGTTACGTTTACAAATTTTGTTTTTATATTCAATACCGATGAATTAATGAACAGATTCTCATTAAAGTAAAAGCGAATGATAATAAAATTCAAAGTAAAATGTCTGAAGATGAAATTCACTAACATAATTGAATTTGTGAATAAAAAATAGTTTTTGGTTTATAATGATAATAAGTAAGTAATATGAAGTTCAAAAAGCCTCCAAATTAATTATTTTCCAATATATTCACATATTTTTCATTATATTACGTTTTTGTAACTGCTTTATGCGATACGTTGCAGAAATTATTGCAATTTTAAAGCGACTGTTTTAATTGCTACAGTTTAAATTTTACTAATAAGGCTTAAAAGTTTATCTTTGCTATTTTTCTGTATAAAAATAAGACGGAGGGATGGTTATTTGCTTTCTTTTTTTAATATGTACTTTTACGAGATAAAGTGTGAACGTATTGTAACGCATCTTTAATAGCATCTTTACAAATGACTTTTACCAAAACTTTGAAATAAAAAGAGTTTTTAATAGTTTTATAACATTTAAATAGTTAATTTATTCGTTTCCTTGAGAATAAAATTTTATTTATACGCTTCATTTTTATTCGTTAGAAATAACAATTCGGTGATACTTTAAAAAAGATGAATTTAAAGGAAAAAGGAAGCTTTATAATCTAGGAAATTGTTTGATCGTTTATTATATTGCTCAATGCTCGGTTCTTTGAAGAATAAAGTTCATTCAAGTGGCTACACAGTAACACACGACATATGTATCTTTCATGAGTATGCCATCTTACATGCAACTACACCTTATTTGTACTAGATGTCACTCCTTTTTATTTTCTGGTGCACAAAGCGAAAGTATCATAATTGTCAAGATATTCTACCTGGAAATTTTGATAAATCTAGAAGATTTAGTCATTTTTCTTTTCTGAATTTTGTCTGTGAACACATCTCACAAATAAATCACTTAGAGGGAAGAAATTTAGTGTGCGGTCTCACGACGAAAGTTTTAGATTTCTTTTACATTTACTTACCGCAAACGTGCCTCTTCGTCCGTGTGCATTTTAACACGAGTGCACACCGTGTGCATTGTCACAAAACAAAACCTAAACGCAACCAGGTGCATCAATGAAAATCGGCATATTATTTTATAATTAGAATTGTTTATCTCTTTGTGCGCATGCTGGAAGCACTGGTTCTCGTCTGAACACCGCAGTTAAGCAGCATCCGGCGCGGTCAGTACTTGGGAGGGTGGACCACCCGAGAACACCGGCTGTTGGCAACTTTTTCACGGCGGCATGTGGCGATGTTCTGTATATTGGACTAAATCTGTCTAAGAGTTGACTGTCTATCTATCGATACTTGAAAATACGTAAAATGAACATTGCCTAAAAATTTGAATATTACGGGAAATATGAGCATTTGTAGTAAATAATGTTTTACTGCGCATGCGCGAAATGCAGTTCTGTATACTATCAACAGATGGCGCCATCAAAAGCTACTCTAAATAAAACGTTAGAAAGGCGCAGTTCGGGTCCGCGCCGTAGATTTTTCGTGAAAACGTCGGGATAGAATCATAAAACAAGTGATTTGTATTAATATGTAATTTAATTATCAATCTCTTTAATACAATATTTTCACAGAGTAGTATAATGGTTACAGAACAGATAAATCACAAGCTACCACACTACCTTTATACATGAGATAAACTTGTGATTTATCTATTTTGTAACCATTATACTACTCTGTGAGAATATTGTATTAAAGAGATTGATAATTAAATTATATATTAATACAAAACACTTGTTTTATGATTTTATTCCGATTGTTTTCACGAGAAATCTACGGCGCGGACCTGAACTGCTCTTTTCTTTTTTTTATTATTGAAGTTAAACTTAGTAGTGTAATTGAGTTTTTCTTAGTTTAATAGAAACGCTGCCGAAATTCAGTTCTGAACGTCAAGTCTTTTTTCGTTCAAAATGCCGTTCTTATACCCTTTTATGCAATATTTTACTACGTACTCTACAAACTGAAAAAGAAGAAGAGAAAACGTGCATAAAAACGGTATTCTGAACGAAAAAAGTATTTTCACTCAGAATTTCGGCAGCTGCTTGTGATGCATACAACTAAATTTTGCTTCGTTTGGAGCGCTAGAACCTGCTCTAGATCCTTCTTACTGTCAACAAATTTTGAACCACCTTTGGCCCGCCGAAGCACCCAGATCATTGTTGAAAGACCGGCCGCTGCGACACCGACAATCGGGTCTCTGGTCGAACACATAGTAGGTCCCATGTAAGCTGACGAGCGGCTAATGCGGCAACTACCTCTGTTACGAGGTATTACCCGTCTTCGGAGATGGACCCTAAGAGACACACTACCTGTCGCCTGCAGCTTTATTTTAGCACGCGCGGCAGATCTCGCTTATCTATCACCAGGAAAACAACTCAACTATGAGTTTGTGTTAGAAAAAGATTGATGACGCCGGATTAATCGATAAGATTTATTCTTGACATTATTATGAGAGAATTATTATGAAAAACTTCCTGTAAATATGTGTAAATAGGTGTGCTGCAAATGTTTATTTTGATGTCGTCAATCCGGCTTCCTACTTTATTTCAAAAAACATGGCGGACATAAAGCATTAACATCGCTGTTGGCTATAAAGTCATCCTGTTTGCCAAACCACCATTAATGTACCCATCATGGGAGCTATTCCCCACTTACTTAGACAGTAAGCAGGGACATGCTTCCCCAGTTGGGGAGACTTCTTAGTAAGCCACATAGAGCATCACACAATCCTTCAAAAGCATCCGGGTAACATATGAAAGACCGGCCGCCACGGGAGCGTAGTCAGGCATTGAGGTTCCTGCATTATAGCCCCCATTACGAGCGGCTCATGCAACAACCCCCCGTTTTACCGGGGTACGACCTTCCTTCGGAGATTGGCCCAAAGAGTCACACCACCATTATTGTACCATCGGGTTGGCGAGAGTCAGCTTACTTATACGGCGGCCTCTCATCCGTGAACTCGCGGTACCCCCCCAATGGGGGTGCCTTCTCAGTAGGCGAACATTAATTGTAACATTCATGTAAAAGTATACGAGAAAGTTGAGGGGAGGACATCCCACTTGGTTTCTTCTGCAAGATGCGCAACAGATTCAAAATTAAATTAGAATGCTCATTTGACGTGAATCATATGAGGATGAATTGACTCCACAGAACAGAAATCAGACATACACTCTGTCCCAAAAGTTTATAGAATCTTGTATTTTGCCTATATTTTTTGTTGCATATGATATATATCGATATAACTTACTGTATAGATATGTTATGCCTGTTAAATTGAAAAACAACAGTTCTACCCCGTATATTTGATGCCAATTTTTAAATCGTAGAATACACTGAAATAACCTGTCCCAAAAGTTTATAGACAAATGCAATTTTATGCAAATATGGTATCGGTAATCATGATGTCGTTCTGGAGCCTAATAAATACGTTGTAAGAAAAGGAAAGCGTTCGTTTGTTCTGCGTTTCAAGATGCCTAAAGCGTAGCGGCTCTTTAATGAAGAAGTGAGTAAAATTCTGCATTTGAAATTGCTCTGTAAGACTGTTAAGGAAATATTGAAACTTTTAAATCGTTCTAAAAGCATGATTTATCGTGTATTAACTCGTAAGACGCCATATGAGCCAAAACCTCGTTCGGGAAGACCACGTGTGACAGACGGATACAAAGAATGGCTTTCAAGTCAGAAAATGTCGGTTCGCGAAATTACTGGGGCTTCCCGGTTGCATATCTCCAAGAACACTGTTCATAGATGAATTATAGAATCTGGGTATATGATCCACGCAAAAATGGCTCGCCGATTACCACTCTCAAAGCTTCACATTAGTAATAAATTACAATGGGCTCGTTATCATATGTCATATGGTGATAAATGGATGGCTGCTCTTTTCAACGATGAAAAAAACGGAACCTCGATGGACCTGACGGGAATATAAAATATTGGCATGATTTATGAAAAGAGCTCAGAAGCTTTTTCAGTAGGCAAAGTGGCGGTGGATCTGTGATGGTGTGGGCGGCTTTCTGTTTCAACGGCCAAGTGGGTTTGGCCTTTTTAGATGGCCGACAGAATTCTCCTAAATACATAGAAACACTAGAAAATCATCTTATGCCATTTGCAGAAAATATAGGAGGACGAAATTGGTAATATCAGCAAGATGATGCTCCCATCCATACCTCCAATGCTACGAAAAATTATTTAAACTCGAAAAATGTTACTGTTCTTGAGTGGCCACTGATGAGCCCTAATCTAAACCCAATTGAAAATGTGTGGGACATTATGTCTCGGAAGGTATATGAGAATGGAAGGTAATTTTATTTAATGAATGGCCTTGAAGACAGCCATTGAAAGTGTATGGTACAACTTGGAATCAGAGATATTACAACCTTAATTATGTCGATGGAAAAACGTGCATACAATGTCATACTGAGAAATGGAAAGACTTTAAACTATTAAGAACATTGTATTGAGCACCTTTTGTTGAAACGTCATATATTCTATAAACTTTTGCGACACCTAATATTTCCATTTTGTTATATAATTCAAATAGAAAATGTTATTTTTTCTAAATATTTCGTTGAATGCAAGTCGCATAAGGTTTGAATAAACATATTTGTAATTGGTGTTTGCATGCCTTTCCGTTTTGTTAAAAAAATATTTTAATAGAGTCTATAAACTTTTGGGGCAGAGTGTACAATCAATAATCATGAAGTATATATTTCATTTCCGAAGTTTTCTTTTTTCTTTTTTGTTTTACCAGGTTAATTCTCCATTATTCATTATTAAGTCATCCAGGCTGACTGCACTTTTACAGTCGGCTATTCATCTCTTCTTTTTGCCTGTGAGTAAGATAGATGAAAAATGCCCAAATGGAAATATTAAGAGACTTCAATGATAGCAAAAGAATGTTTTATAGCTCTGTAATTGAAAGGAGCATTTGTGAAGGGAAAAAGTAGTGTGAACTTGCCTCCTTTATTAATGGGAGTTTTGGTTGAGAAATTTCTCGCCTAATTAAGTACGGGGAAAAGTAATTTTTTCCCATTCGCAGTATGGTGGGGAACTGAAAAATGAACTCAAAGGAATAAAATAACAAATTCTTACTTCATTATGACTTAAAAAGATCTGAAGTATCTAAAGTAAAAAAAATCGTTAAGATATATGAAAAATAGAAGAAATGACGGTAAGAGTCTTATGAATTGATGATAGTAATGTAAATTTTATTACAGCTTCATGCAATCTAAATTAAAGAAAAAATCTGTTAATATATTCACAAAATAATTGTATATAAAAAATTATAGCAGTCCAAAAAGATGTGTTTTTACTTTCTTATATACGAAGTTCACAAGGAGAAATTACTCTAGCAGATTAAAAATTGGACATTGTAGAGGGGCGAGACTCATGTTTATATGGAATGCCGCTGTTGAAGAATTAATTCAATTTCAGGAACCATTTTTAATTGATGGCTAATTTCCACGACACAGTACATTTAAAAGGTACAAGACGCAAGACAAGACAGAGAACAACAACACAACACAAGTACACAGAAGAAAAAGAGAGAGAGGCATCATGGGAAAAACCGGAATGGCTCTAGTAGCGCCACCTACCATAAAAAGGAGAAGGCAGTGAATTGTAAACGCTACAACATTCAGTTTTTAATGAATCTCCACGTTTCGGTTCAGGTTAGTTTAATTACATTAACATCCCGTTTTGAAGCAACACGAGGGATGTTATGAAACGGATCTCTCAATTTGTAGCCATTATCAGATGACGGGGACGACATCTGAGATGGCAGCCCCTCTCCAAACTTCCGCATCACACCAACAGGAGGATCTCCACGTTTCAGACCTCCCTGAATCCAAAAAAAAACAATTTTTCAATATGGAATTTCTTATCTATTGGTCTGTGTACACAATAATTCAAAAATAGAAAGGGCAAGACGGACGGAATTTGGTATGCGATTTTTACACCAAAATTGTAGATTTGTATCAAAATTTGAACGAAATCCATCAACGGTAAGTTTGTCGATCTGTCTGATCCTCTGAAAGTGAACATGTTAACGCAAGGTGCTAGGTAAAACAGATTCGGCATATTATTTTATCATCAGAATTGTATGTCTGCCTCAAATTTTGGGACGAATCTGTCATTCTTGAATTGAATTCTTATCTGTTGACCTGTGTACACGATAATTCAAAAATAGAAAGAGCAAGATGAACGGAAT